TGATGAATATAAGCTGCTGTGTATAGTATTTTCAAACATAAATACTTGAGTATTAATAGGATAGTGTTTACATCTGTAATCTTATATGTTCATGTTCTCCCACATCACTAAAAGCGCAAGTTTCGATTTCTCTCATAATTTATTGATGTACTGCCGTTTCTCAAATAGTTACAACGGTGCAAGACCAGAAATTTTGATTATGTATCTGTTCTGGAAATATTTTAGGCGCATTTACATACATACCACCCAATTTTTATGTCCGTACATATCTAAAGCTTAACTTTTGTTTTTACAATTTTACCACCCAAATCTTAAATATCACATAACAAATACCATTATTTTAAACTTTAAAAAGTGAACACATTTTCATGCGTGGATAAGGTGCTATTTATGTAAAAAATGAAGTTTAGGTGATAGATATGTAAATACATAAGAATTGAATGTTATGCATGTTAATCGTGCATATTTTTTTGAGACAACATAAGCAAGTTTGCAAATGCAGGATGCTACTGACACAGTAACAGTTCTATAAAGTTTGAACATACCTCAGAAACTACTTGGCAGTTTTTTTCTTTTTTCGCTCTTTCTTCTTGTGCATGCTCTATTAGATAAATTGTTTTGATTTTGGTTCTTTAGAGGTGGAGCAGCTGCTGGAGCCAGAAGAAAGAGACATTTTGCAGCAGAACGAAGTCCCTGATATTAGCAAAATCTCAACTGTTAAGTATTTTTAGCCAAAGAATTTGTATTAATTTTATTCTGATGCTTTACTGAATGATTTACACAGGCTGAACTTGATTGCTTAAAATTTTATAATGAAAAATGATAGCAAATTATTATATATATATATATATATATATATATATATAGAGGGGGTTCATATATACACTTTTTATATCTATACCACCCAAACCTTTCATATCACATAAAAAATACCACTATTTTAATTTTTTAAAAACTTAAGCACACAATTTCATGCTTAGTTAAAGTGGAATTTATGTAAAAATTGAATTTTCGGTGTTAGATATGGTAACGCATAAGAATTGAGTGGTAAGCATTTGAATCTTCCTATATTTTTTTTATAAACACCTTAATAAATAAATCTAGTCGGAGTGGTTCCTTAATATCATAAACTTTAATTCTTCTAACTCTTAAATTTTCTACCTAGTGCAGAAGAAATGGAACCTATTTCATTCACTGGGATTGTCGCTTCAGATACATTTGATGGACAAACTTCTCGAACTCGGTTGGGATATTGATTCTGCTGATAAGGTTTGTCCTTTGACCTTTAGTTAATCCTCTGACTGATTATTATAAGTTTTTATTTTAAGAAAGACTGAACTGTATGTAGGTTTGTTGTACAGGATGGCTATACTGCTCTTCACAAGACAGTGATGGGAAAAAAGGAGGCTGTTATCAGCCATCTTTTAAGAAAAGGTGCAAATCCTCTTATTAGGGACCGGGTAATGATTTAAGAATCTTAATTTTGAAAAAAGCTTAATAAATACATTGTTTTAAATGTTATAATAATATGCTTATCTATTTCCATTTTTTGATCAGAATGGTGCCACTGCTTTGCATTATGCAGTTCAAGCTGGTGCTATGCAAACTGTGAAGTTGCTGATCAAGCACAAGGTGGATGTCAATGTTGCTGATAATGTGGGTTGCCCAATATTTAATTATTTTTTATTTATGTAGGAATTTGATGCATGTTAAAACATAATCATAAGGAATTGATGATTACAGGATGGCTGGACACCGCTCCATATTTCTATGCAGAGTAGATCCAGGGATATTGCAAAAGTTTTATTAGTTAATGGTGCTGATAAATCAAGAAGAAACAAGGTTTTATTTGCAGTATTTACTTTTTTATCCATGACATTTACTTATTTTATTTATTTTTATTGATGAAGATTGGCAAATCTTGATTTAGAGGCAAATAAATCATGACTTGTAATTTGTTCTTGTTTATATTTTTTGAAAAGGACGAGGGATTTGACTATACTGGTGAAAGCTTCATGGTTTGCACTTTTTGGATGGTTAAATCACACTATTTGTGTTCATTTTAGTTTTCTAATAACTATTAGTATGCTATATTTGCTTATTAAAAAGTTTTGCTCATGATATGGTTTAAACCTTATTTTGATCAGCTCCTTTCACGCCGCTCGGTCGCCAGCTTATTAAATTGTCTGGAGCCCTATTCATAGTGGGTGAACTAAATGCTCATTGTGGGTTCAAATTTATGAAAAAAATTTATTGAAATTGAAAGAAAGGATTATATTCTTTCCAGGTTTTGATTGTGAAGATTTCAGTATTATTAACTTGCCAACATCATGGCCTCTTTTAGTCCTATAGTGTAGTTGGTCATGCATTATTACCATGGATATTACAGTCAACACCACATTTTGTTCGTTACCAAAAGTCAATAAACATTTATCATATCATCAATCAAACTTCATATTAGAGAGATCAAGGCCTTGAAATCCACACCATTGGATATAAATTCATATCACAACCATGTATCAGTGGCTTTGAATATTTTTTTCTATTTTGTTTGATTTTCTATCAAAATTATAAATTTAAAGTTATTATTAATTATGGTGTAATTACCTTTAAATTTGACCTTATTTAGCTCCTTAGTTAAAGATAGGATTTTCTTCATTCTTGTAAAAATTTATTCAAGAGTACATTAGATCTTAACGATGTTGTAATTGCTTCTGAAAAGGCCCGAATTCAACGATAAATTTAACCAACAAATCTCTCACGAAACTTCCCCTCTTTTTTCTCCCCATAGTCGACATTGTTAACATTGCAAACCAGTAGACATTAGATACTATACCAACAATGTACTGTAACAAACATTGTAGAAATTATAGCAAACGATATTACTTACTATATAACATGTCTAGTGTTTATTCAAGCACTTATAAGGGAGAAACTATAAACTATATTGTTATTTTAAAGCTATCAACATTTTTGTATGATGTATAGTGGAGGAAAACATCAAAGGGGTAAAAAGAGGTAAATCTTTCTACAACAAGAAAACTCAATTCAGAGATTGGTCTACTCATCAAATTTATATCATGATTTTATGGTGATTAGGGGTTGTTCAAGCAAACTCATATGTTGAGAATTCTACCAAATGTATTATGTTGAGGGTTCATAGAAAAAGTAGTGCAGTATGAGGCGAGACTCCATATAATCTATGCAGGAATAAACAACAAATAAATATTTTAAATATAAAAAAATTAATGTACCCAGAACATTTTTTTTTTATTTTAAATAAACTTGTTATATTTAATCGATGATCTCAACCAGACCACCAGAGTGAAATCCTCACTTGAATGGATCATATTTGTTGAATTCTAATGGTTTTCTTTTTTTGTGGAGACTATTGCCTAGTGATTTTCATGACATTATTGAGATCAAAGGTGGTGTTAGCAAGGATCCATACACAATCAGATCATCAATCGCACTTCATATAAAGGGTGATCACACCTTGAAAAATAGACAATCATATCAAAGTTAAATCACATCAGAATAAAGATGATCTTGAATTTCCAAAATTATTTCAGATAAATCTAGATTTGAAGTTTAAACTATAGATTGCGATATTTGATACTTATCATTAAATTTGAACTTGCCTAATTTATTATTTATTGATAAGATTTTCTCCCCTTGTGGAGTTTGTTTTTAATGGATTAGATTCTATCTTTGTTATATCATAGGCAGTGTTTGGCCGCGAATTTACGTTCAACAGGATTTATCAAATCTAGTGAAATCGGATTTATCTAACCTTCTGCGGACCTCGTGAGCGACGATGAGTGACATCCCGTAAATCCGCCTCGCAGTGGGATTTAATAAATCTGGATTTGCGCTGTAAAATAAATGAAACATGGAGAATTCGACAGAATGTGAAAGATTTTGAATTAATGGAGCATTGAATTAAATTTTTGCTTTTTTTTTTAATTTTTGGTGGGATTCAAATTAAATCCATGGCTAAATCCCGTTACTACTAAACACCCCCTTAATTTACAAGATTGAATTCTGCAGTGATGCTCTACAGCGCCGTTTTAAAGCATTGTTTATGTTTTTCACTGTAGAAAAAAAAACCTTATACAAATTTATCTACAGCAAGGGAAATCAATTAAAATATAGGCCTATGCATCAACACCCCATCAAAAAAATTTGATTTTTATTCTATTTTATCTTCCAATATTGATTATTTTTTTAGTTTCATTGTGCATTTATCATAAATTATTAGAACTTTCTTTGGAAAAATTTTGTAGGATGGAATGACACCTCTCGATCTCAGCTTGTGCTATGGGAGGGACTTCAAGTCTTATGATCTGGCAAAGCTACTCAAACTTGTTCCTGCAGACAGAGATTTTTGAAAAGAGTTTGTGTATTTTTTCACTGCACTCTTGCGGCGAGATAAATCAAATTGTGTAAATTTATGTTTAGTTTCTGTTTTCTCATCTAACATAATTTTTGTGTAAAATTTATGTTCCTTTTAACAGTTTGAAAGTAAATAGGATTTGTTTATGGAAATATGTTTCATATTATTTTTTGAAGTCATTTCACTGTTTTATTTTATGTAATTTAGGCATTGAAGAGACGAGTTACGATAAAATGGTATATTTTCATTTGAACTGGCCATGTTGAGAAATGTAAACATTAGAATTAACACAACCATTGACGTTCTTGAAACAACAGTATGACTTGAGCTAGTTGTAATATCTTAAACTTTCTAAATCTTCATCTATAGGATCTGATTACTAATTCTTAAACTGACACAATGGAGATAAAAGAAAATCTTTGCACTGTATTTGCGACAGAAGTGCTTTGTGCAAGTGAAGAAGGAAGAATAATACTTGGATGCATTCTCCCCGCAATAGGAGGTTAGGCAGATAGGAGAGAGCTAAGATTAGAAGCTGTTAGGGAGACTTTGATTTTAGATGATTTGAAATAGACAAGATGGGATTGTAGAATATCGAAGTTTCTCCCCGCGTCCTTGGCAAATCAGACTCTTTCATTCTTGGGAGCTCTAAGAAGCAAGGCCTAAGTGAGATGAGCGTAGGTTAGGTTAGCTATCAACTAAGTTAGGAGGCTGGAAAGAGTCAATACGGCTAACTTTCTTTTAGTGTAATTCTGATCTCTAAATTGTCTACCAGCATTGTCAACGTCCTAGGAGTGATTGCCCGACAGTCATATGACCTAACTGGTATCAAATTGAATAGATTTCTTTCATAAATCACCCATTTCATTTTTACTCTACAGTCATAAGACCTGACTGGTATCAGAAGATGTACTGGGAGAAGAAAAGTAACCGAACGTAGTGTCAAGCACTTAGTCCCCATCTACATTCCTTCTTGCACTATAGGCCAATCTGGCAGCGTCATTTCATACCATCAAGTCGTTCCATACCCACATGCACTTACAAGGGCTGATGCATCCCTCACTTCGTACAGATATATCACGTCATCGAATCTCTAAACTCCCATCCTCTATCAGAACTCCCATATACTCATCTCCATAAAACATGTCCGCCCGTATAAACCAAGTCTAACTCTTATGCATAGTCAAACCCCACTCCACGGTTTTGAAGCAACCTTCTAGAGCTAAACTAATAGATATGTAGAGCTAACCACTAACATGGGGATACCTACAGGTATGATTACTTTTCAATGGCAAGGGAGGTGCTTAGCTAATTACGCTATGGGACAACACGAAAGCGGAAGAATAGCTAATAACACTGTAAGTCGCTTCCATGGACTGAGAGTTTGTTTGGCGCAGTTGCAGCTTCTCAGCTTTTCAGCTGCAGCTGCACTGCC